CCTACTCTTCACCGCGAGGAGGTCGCGATTATCGGCGGCCATGTGATATTCACGTTGAGCAGACAATAGCCAAGCGAGTTCTCCAGCTTCTATCGGGCAATTTTATTCGTGGCCTTGCCAAAACGGCTTTGAAAGCCTAAAAACGAGTTGCTGCCGAAATAAATTTCAAAACAGGGAGGACTTGAATAAACCTAGCTGTAGCTCCCTGAATGGTGCGGCGTCTAGTAGCCCATGGTCTAATTGGACTGAAAACTCATTGCCAGGCCGCTAGCTATCAAGACAAGCGAGAAAACAGGTCAGCTTTAAGGGGATGCAACGAAAACCAGTAACACTCATTAAACGCGTTTAATCAGTGTTGCCGCAGGTGGTTTGGGGTCATTATACTCGTTTTTTACGCCTTTTTTACTCCTTTAACTCGTTTTTTACTCGTTATTTACTCGTTCCACGCGGTTTTTACTGGTTTCACGCCTTCTCTACTCGTTTCACGAGTTGCCCACACGTTCAACGAGTGGGCAGGTCGTTAAACGAGGTTAATCAGTGTTACGCGTTTTCGTTGCATATCCTAAGTTGTAAGGCAAACACCGCACTTTAGCGCCCTGCATCGTGTAGCATCTTGTAGCCCATCGTCTGATTGCTGTGTAAACTAGTGCTTTGAGTTTAACTAGTTCTTGTTGAACTTAGGTATGTGTAGAGAAGTGGAAAGATGTATTCGATATGGTGAAAGAGTACAAAGCTTTAAGAATAGTCTTTGTGTGTTTTTATAAGTGTGGTTGGTTGTCTATACGACGGTCGGGATGTCGGACTTCAGGAGTTCATGGACTTCGGACTTGGTAGTTCTGCGGATCCTGTGTAGTCCAATAGTTCTACTCGTGTTCGTTGCATCCCCTATGCTTTATGTTGTGAGGCGAACAGCGCACCGTAGCGCCATGAGTCGTGTGGCATCTTGTAGCCCATGGTCTAATTGGTCTGGCAACTTATTGCCAGGCAGCTAGCTATCAATGCAAGTGAGAAAAACAGTGCTCTCGCTTGTGAGCCGTCGAAAAAAAGGGGGACAAGTCAATTTTTAGCGGCCCAATGAAGCATCGTATAGGGCCGAGTCCTGCCACATCTTAAAGCCCGTCCTCTGCGGTGCTTTTTGAACGAAACGCGAGGCCACGAGCTTGCAGAGCAACCGAGAAAACGAGTAATCTTGTTTGCCTGGTGTGGTACAATCGGTCCAATGAGACATCCCAGAGGGCTGAACCCCTCCCCACCTTGAAGCCCATACTCTGCGGCGCATTTTGAACGAAACGCGAGGCCACGAGCTTACAGTGATCTTGATCATCGTCCCCAAAAAATGGTCCGAAAATGGTCCGAAAATGATGCCTCAATAGTCCCAAACATACCCCAAAACAGTCCCAATATTGTCCCAAACTTGTCCCAACAACATACCCCCAAACTGTCCAAAATGGTCCCAAACATACCCCAAAACCATCCCAAAATGGTCCAAAAGACCCCATAATAATATGTTATCCCACACAGGCCCAAAGGGCACATGTAGAGCCTAGGTACCAAAGGTGTCCTAGCAAGCCAATGTGGTACCCTGTTTTTATGAGTGCTAGCTAACAAGTGCCACACTCAGGAAGGAATGCCTGCACTGATGTCAGGAGTGGTCAGAGTCCTGCGGATATCAGCACCAGCAAAGCGCACAGAAAAGTAGTATTTCTGTGTGAGAGAGGAAAGGATCTCAAAGGTGCGTGGGTCCACCCGCTCTGGGAAACGCTGATGCAAATTGGGTTAGTTGTACACACAGGTGCTGGAGATACAAGGATAAGGCCTACCTCAACTTTTGTGTCAAAAGAGACAGAATAGCCACGTTCAGAAAGGATGTCAACAGCCATGTTGACTGCCTTCTGATCTTCGAAAACGGGGTCGGCAGACCGGATGAGCACCGAACCAGACATCGCATGGTGCTCAATGCTGGGCAAAAACTCCTTCAGTATGATGTCAATCACCTGTACAGCCCCATACATGCACAACACAAACGACACACACACGACACACACACACGACACACACGACACGACACACGTCCGTTCAGTTGCTGAAAGACCTGGCAAGCCAAACCGAGAGCTAAACGTTGCACGGGGGGACACCTTCTGGAAAAGGGGGGATTCGTAGGTCTGATAGTCATCCAGCCGCTTGACCAGATTTTGGCGAGCATGCACGATGATCTTGGACGCCAACGGAATGCTGCCGGTGCCCTCCCCGCCAGTAGGGGACTAAAATGAGACAATAATACTAACAATAATAACAATAAAAGAATGTGGTGGCGAGTAGGTTGAAAGCAAGCATACGGCTGAATGGCATCGAAAGTCTTGCGACGATGGCGACGGCAATGGGAGAAGGTGTGGAGAAGGTGAGCATCAGCGTCATACTCTCCCGCAATGAAGCAGCATCACCCCACGGCCGGCGGGGGGAGGGGTAGTTTGTTTCGGGCGTGTGGGAGTACCTCCTCGTCCAGCTCAAGAGAGCTCTGGTACTCGAATTGCTTGATGATGCGCGCTCGGACCTGTGTTGAGTGGAGGAGAGGTAGAGATGGGGAAAGAGATAGATGAGCACAAAATTCGGTGGTGCGGGGAGGCGAGGCGGTGCACCTGCTCGATGGAGTCCTGGGCGTTGATGAGGTGGAAAGGAAAGCGCTGCTGGAGGGTGGTGAGAGTGGCAAAGTGCTGCTTGAAGATGGCATAGCGCTTCGCCGCTGCCTTCTCGCTCATGTCGGTGGGCCGTTCAGGCGCTAACTCACCAATGCCCGTTTCCTTCACCTTGGCGTTGTGTATCGTTGCCCGCTTGCCTCGCGCCAGCTGCCGCTCAATAGATGTCCGCTCTTCCACGAACAGCACGGACATCCTGCACCGCACCACGCCGCCAACCACGGGTACAGCAGCAGCAGCAGCAGCAGCAACGACCACCACCGCCACCACCGCCGCCACCAGCCGCCACCGCCGCCACCGCCGCCACAACCGCCACAAGTCAAGCTCCGCGGGATTCGGGGGAGGGGGGCAGGGTCGCGACGGTCGGCGGTTGGGGTGGGTTGGACCTGAACACGGGGCGCGGGTAGAGCTGTGGATTCTGTCGCTTGAGTGTGAGCATGCGGTCGTAGAGGAGAGAGACGTGATCCACTTGGATCTCTGTGCGCGGGAAGCCGTCAACGAGCGCGCCCACTCGGTACTGATCCTGCAGCAACGTTTCCAGCAACGTCTCCGTCACCTGGGCATCGCTGATCATTCCGCCTTGTATCCGACCAGCACGACCGCGCCACACGACAGACATGTGAGAGGGGAAGAGAGAGAGAGAGAGAAGGTCGGGGCGTTTGACAGGCGGAACATCACAAGGAATAAGGCAGCGGTGGGTGTAGGTCTGGGAGCGCAATCGCGTGTTTACCTTCGGCCTTGATAACGCGAAACTCAGGCGAGTCGAGCAAATCGGAGAGAACTACGGGCGATGCAGTGATACCCCTTCGCCATTATTGGGACAGATCGTCAGTGAGGTGCCCCACCTCATCCAGCACTCATTGTAGTAATAGTAACAACAACAACCTCGGCGCACTGCGAAAAGATTGCGCTCGGCTTTGTGCGTGTGCGTGGTGCGGGTGCGTGTGCGTGGTGCGTGTGCGTGGTGCGTGTGCGTGGTGCGTGTGCGTGTGCGTGTGCGTGCGTGAAGAGGTACCTCGCCTCAAGGATGAAGGGAGTGTTGGTGCCCTTGCCGCTGCCCGGCGCGCCCATGAGCCAGATAATCTCTGTCATGATCCCGCCACCGACACAAGCGTAGGTGAGCGAGCTGGCCCGCTTTCGCTCGCAATCCAACGACGTTGGGCATCACGAGTGCAACATGGTTGCGCGATGTGTGCGTCGTTGGTCGCGTGTGTGTCGTGTCGTGTCGTTGGTCGTGGCGTGTCGTTGGTCGTGTCGTTGGTCGTGTCGTTGGTCGTGTCGTTGGTCGTGTCGTTGGTCGTGTCGTTGGTCGTGTCGTGTCGTGTCGTGTGCGTGTCGTGTCGTGTCGTCGGTCGTGTGCCTTTGGGGAAAACCATGCGCTCCTCAGTGTACTTGGCCTTGAGCTTGTTCCAGACACTGTCGAACATGAGCTGCGAGTTCTTGATTTCGCCATCGCTCTTGTCTTTGCCGTCCTTGGGGGAGGTGACTGTCGCGCTTGGCTTGCCGGTCATGTCGGGTGCTGAGGAGGAGGAGAGGCGATCAGCTTCCAGGACCAGAAGTGCAAAGCGTCGGCGTGTGGACCCGCACCGGATGGCACCGCAGAGAGGGCGTCCTTGACGGTCTTGGCACCAGCAGCCGCGGCCGTTGCGGTGGAGGAGTAAGGGCGCTGGAGGGACAGCCACGACGTGGTTCCGCGTGCGGCACGTGGCGGACCCGCCGTGAGCCTGGTGGTGCAGAACCGCTGCTGTTGCTCCCCTACGCACGAGCGTGTGGCACTTCCCGCCCCTGTACGCGACGCCGCACTTGAGCTTTTGGACTGAATGAAAGGTTGATTTTGTGTGGGGGGGATTGCATGTGCTGTCTTGCTGTACCTTGTGCACGTCGCAGAACGGCTTGAGGTGGGCGGAGAGGAGGGGAGAGACAAGACGAGATTGAGAATGGAGGCAGGTTGCGACGCATGGTGGCGGGGGGGGACTGAATGGAAAAATAATAAAATTGTGGACAAAAAATAAAAAGAACTCGATTTGTTTGGCCTTTTATGTTTATTGCGGGGAGAAAAGGGGGCACGTCACAAGAAGGACAAGCACTGCGATTAACGGTACGACTTCTGGTAACGGGCGCGGGCAGCAGGACCACCGAACTTCTTGGGCTCGCAGCGCCTGGGATCGGCCACCAGCAAGCTTCTGTCGTAGGTAAGAAGGACCTCCTTGATCTCCTTCTTAGCGGCTTCGTCCACGTCTGTAGTACAACATTGAGGAAGGAGGGGGTGAGTGACAGACAACCAGAAGATAGGCGGGCTTCCAAAAGAGCCAGAGAAGCTTCATGTCCTCAGGAGAAAAGGTGTCATATATAGGAATATGATCTCAAACTTTAAAATGCATCACTGACGGAAAGGGATGTAAGAAGAGACCCCAAAACAAGGGGGCAGATAAAGACTTTGAGAATGGAGAAAACTCACGCTGGCGGGCGAGGCAGGAGAGGACGTACACTTCTGGTACCACGCGACGATAGCCTTGGCAAGGGCCTGACGGATGGCGTACACTTGCGAGACGTGACCACCGCCCTTGACTCTGATTCTGATGTCCACTCCGGAGAACTTGTCCGTTCCGAGGAGGAGGATGGGCTCGAAGACCTTGTACCTCAGGACCTCAGGCTCAACGAGCTCAATGGGCGAACCATTGATCTTGATCAAACCACGGCCAGCCTTAACAAAGGCGACGGCGACGGCGGTTTTCTATTATGAGGAGAAACCGTACATCATGTGAGCAAAGAAATGTTTCTTCTCCAATGCTTATTGGGGGGGGGGGCGCGAGCAAGACAGGTGAGTGACGCAACGCACCTTCCTTCCGAAAGTCTGGACGCTCTTCTTGGGCGCGGTGGCAGGAGCGGCGGAAGCCATGACGTGAAGGAGGATGGAGGGGAAGGAGGAAGAGAGAAAAGGAAGACCATGTCGACACGAGCCAGTTTTTTTGGCTGCGCCACATCTCCCCCGGTAAAATCCCTGTTTGAGCTCCAAGGCATTTCTTCCATCAATTCCTTCTTCTTTTCCCCGCAGGCACTTTTCCCGCGCACCCCACCACAAAGATGATGAACGGTGGCGACGCAGATGTGTCCACTGTCCAGCCGACGAGCCCAAACCCGGCTGTGACGGCACTGGAGGCTAAAATCATGGCCTACCAGAACATCAACGAAGGCGGCACCAAGGGTCGCAACACGAATCTGCAAAAGCTCGAGGTGCTCTGGGATCTCGACGAGGTGGTCAGCGCGGCCCAAGGAGGACCCAAGGAGGCCAGCAGCAGCAGCAGCAGCAGCAGGAAGAGGACCCACCTCCACCAGGAGGGACCCGCGAGTGCCCAGCTGGCCAAGCTCGCCGAGCTCCTCCTGGCCTCCCTCACCCACCCCGTGGGACCGGGTCCGCCCATTCGCCGCCTCCTGGCCGCCAGCCTCGCCCTCCTCCACTCGCGCGTGGCCACCCGCCAGCTCTTCACCCTCGTCGACGCCCTCCACGCCACTCTCACCACCAAGACCCATCCCCTCCTCGCCAAGCTGTACGAGCCTCCTCGCTCTCGCTCTTCTGGCGAGAGGCCTTGCCTTGGCCACTGCTGCAGCTGCAGCAGCTGCGCTGCTGAGTCTTGGGATGACCCCCCCCCACTGGGGATACGTATTCACGTGGCGTGGCGTGGCGTGGCGGGGCGCGTGCACAGGACGGCGCTGCACGGGCTGCGGGAGGCGTATGCGCTCAGGGGCGACGACCTTGATGCGCTGCTGCCCACGAGCGTGCAGGTCGTGGCCAAGCTCTTCAAGGCCAGCGACACCCGCCTGGCGCAGGAGGCCCTCCTCACCGTCGCCGCCCTCGTG